GAAAAGAAACATTCTTCCCATTAGTAGTAAGCTGCATTTTGTACTTAGAGAGACGTTAAATGGCTTCCAGCCTTTGAAATCATAATTTTATATTCAAATCCCTCCCAAACCTAACCTCAACACATCTCTTTGGGCTTCTTACCCTTACAATCCTCAGTAGAGGAGGGGTAAATGGACACCTGTTTTGTATCTTTCAATCACCCAAAAAACTATAAACTACCAAAACAGCTACCATTTTCTTTTACAATAACAAAGTGCTGGAGAAACACAACAGGTCTGGCAGCATCTGTGGATAGAAAATGGAGTTAATGCTGCTTTCTGACATTTGTTCAAAACAGGTTTTCTTTGTGCCTGCAAAATGCTCAATACACTCAATATTATATGAGATTTCTGATTGGACATTTGCTAAGTAAGCTTGCGTGTAAGAATTACTACAAATCGGTTTCAACTCAAAATAGGCGTTTAGAGAATGGTTGAGACATTGCCCTGAAAAATCACCTGCCTAATTTAAGATTTAAACAAAGCTTGGCAATTAACAGTCAATATTTATTAGCGCATGCTTCAAATTTAGTATCTTCTGAGAGGCTGGTATCCCATCACAAAGTCACCCTTTATTTATGCATAGAGAATCCTCGACACTGACCCAGCTCCCTCAAAGCCAGCTCTCAGAGCAAGCAGGGTGTCTGACATGATTGTTCTTATCTATCAGCCAGAGCTCCCTCATGGGGGCTGTTATTCTTGTCTAAGCAGAGGACTCATTCTATTAAGTCCACCTGGCTGACCTCGTTACAATCACTACACACAGCAATACCCGAAAGAACCCACTTCCAAACCACTCTCCTATCATATAGTAGAAATATTTTTCCATTTGAACTAGTAATTTCAGCAAATTGCCCTACCGAATTAAAGGTAAAAGGCTTCAATAAAATAAATCTTTTCTAAACAATACTTACTTTGCACTTCTAGACAGAGTCAGAGTCAAATAGCTAATATAAGCTAGTTTAAGAGAAACAGTTAATTAGACAAGGGTTAAATAAGGATTTATATGGCCACAGTAAAATTGAAAGAGCAGACTTCACCAGATGAACCTTCGACACCATCAAGGATGAGAACAACAGGAATCTTCCTTCAAAGACTTGAAAAGACTTAAGCATGAAGGATTAACTTTTTTTTTATAAACTGCAAAAATATACTTTATTCATAGAAGGAAATCTTCATGTACATACACATGTAGCCATTCCAATCTATACTGTCATTACTTAGAGAATAAAATAAACATTGATGTTCATCTTTCTCTATATTTACAATTAACGTCTTGGTATTTAGCAGAGGCATCAGCAGGGTCTGGTTACTGAATGGACCTCCTGTTTTATTTTGGCAGAAAGACCTTACACGGTGGTCTTTCCCCACTGTGCCTTGGTGGCAGTTGCCCCAAGCTTTATTGCATTCCTCTGTATGGAGTCCTGGACCTTGGCATGTGCCAGTCAACTTTCAGCTGGAAGACCAGCAAGTTTCAGGTAGACCAGAGTTTTTTGCTGCATTGATGGTCCTCCAGACACAACTGATGTTGGTTTCGGTGTGTGTGTGTGTCCCAGTAGCAGATAGTGAAAGGGGACTGTCAGAGAATGCAGCAGAATATAGATTGCAGAGTTGGGCGGAGAAATGGCAGATGGAGTTCAATCCAGGCAAATGCGAGGTGATGCATTTTGGAAGATCCAATTCAAGAGCGAACTTTATGGAAATGGAAAAGCCCTGGGAAAAATTGATACAGAGAGATCTGTGTGTTCAGGTCCACTGTACCCTGAAGGTGGCAACACAGGTTGATAAGAGTGGTCACAAAGGCATACGGCATGCTTTCATTCATCAGACGGGGTATTGAGTACAAGAGTTGGCAGGCCATGTTACCAGTTGTATAGGACTTTGGTTCGACCACATTTGGAATACTACGTGCAGTTCTGATCGCCACATTACCAAAAGGATGTGACTGCTTTGGAGATGGTGCAGAGGAGGTTCACCAGGTGGTTGCCTGGTATGGAGAGAGCTAGCTATGAAGACAGGTCGAGTAGATTAGGATTATTTACATTAGAAAGATAGAAGTCTACAAAATCATGAGAGGTATAGACAGGGTGGATAGCAAGCAGCTTTTTCCACCCCCCCCCCCCGCCAGTGTGGGGAACTCAATTAATAGGGGTCACAATTTCAAGGTGAGAGGGGAGAAGTTTAAGGGAGATATGCAAAGAATGTTCTTTACACAGAGGGTCGTGGGTGGCTGGAACGCATTGCCAGCGGTGGTGGTAGAGGTGGGCACGATAGTGTCATTTAAGATGTATCTAGACAGATACATGAATGGGCAGGGAGCAGAGGGATACAGATCCTTGGAAAGTAGGCAACAGGTTTAGATAAAGGATCTGGATCGGCGCAGGCTTGGAGGGCCGAAGGGCCTGTTCCTGTGCTGTAATTTTCTTTGTTCTTTCTTTGAAAGAGAACGTAGAGCACAGATTCCCATGTCACGGAGCTGCTTGGGACAAACCTCAACAAAAACCACTGCATTTCTCTCCAGACTTCCTCTGCATACTAGTTAAAGAGAGAAAATGGTGAAGTTACAAAAAAAATCTGATAAAGGATTGGAGCAAACATTACCAGGCTAGGATAAGATCAAGTGATTCCTGTCTGGGTAAAAGAAAATATGTATATGGGACTAAAGATGTCTATTAATTGTATCATTATGTGCTGACAATTTTGGAATTTAAGTGACCAAAAATGTCTACATTGATATTTCTTATATTCAAGAGTTAGTCTGAAAATGGACTCTCTCCTTGCATAAACTTGAATAAATAAATCAAAAACTTGCACTCAAGACTTCCACGATTGGTTATTAGATGCAACTACAAAATTTAGCAACACAAGCTTGTGAAATTCTAAATACCAAGTATTGTACTATGAATTAAGAGCCACTGTAGGCCATTTGGATTTGTAGCCTCCTCTACCATTTAAGATCATGGCTAATCAGATTGTGACCTTAAATGTGTGTTCCTGCCTGTCAGATTAATCTTTGGTAAAGGTCTCTTCATTAATGACTTAGATTCATACCAAATATCCAGGCAATGTACTTTATTGTTAACAATCACTATTCATTGAAACTTGATTACAAAATGTCAGAATTTCAAATCCTTTGACCATTTTTCAATGAGCTTGGAGCTGTTGTTTGCCAAGATGTTTGCTTCTGAAGTTATTCCTATGCTTAATTATCTACATTAAGAGAGGTGGTATTGGGATGGGCAAATGTTTTGCTAGTTATGTCTAATCAATGGTTAGCCATTTGGATCCTTAGTATGGGCAAACACCGATGCTGATGTGAAAGTGGAGACTTAAATACAAAATGACTATTAAGACTGTTACTGATTGACCAAAGCAGAACACCTATCCTAGTCAGCAGGTTTCTGATTTTGTTTTATGCAAGGTCTCAATGTGGATTAAAATACATTAAAAAGGAAATTGTAATAGCACATGAACAGAAATATCAGCACATGACAAGACATTCAAAGGGCTACTGCTGTGAAATAAAGCATCTTAATTGAATGCCATCTCAATCTTTCTGAAGCGTGACTACATTACAGATCTTAAGACAGCAACTGTTTAAAGTATGAAATAGTACCTCATTACAAAAATTTTATCCCTTGCTCTGCATAGGCCAAACAAACTTGATGTTTTCACATTAAATGTGGATTTTGCAACAAGTATTCTTGCAGAACTTAAATTAATAGAAGTATTCTTCATCAAAATTGTTATTTTACTGTAACTTAGGCTTCTCATATGGAGTGTGATCTCACATCGATATGGTCATCAGGTCAGACTTTTACTGTTATTTAGAAAAGACAGAAGAATGCAATGCAACTTGGTTACAATATAAAACCAAACAAAATCTATTATGTATCTTTAGCATACATTATCTGTGTTTAGCTTTGGGTTCATCAGCCGATATTCCCATTTGATACATGCCAATTACATTAACCAGTGCAAACCGATCTAGTAAAAAAAGTTTAAATTATTTAATCAACAACCCACTACAATTTTTTTTTAAAAAAGTTCCTTTATTGATCTGATACAGAGATCATGAAGTTAAACAGGTATAATAAATCAGGCTCAGGCTCAAGCTCCGGAAGTAGGTGATATCCTCCTGAGGCATCTTTAACCTACAAAAGAGTAACATTAGGATGTTTTGTGGTCAGAGGACAACTTTCATTCCACAAAGAAAAAAAATCCATGTATATTTTAAAATAGTTGACAGCAAATGTAAACTGATAAACAACTTCAGTTTACTGTAGCTGAAGTCAATTACTAGTGCAGAACTATTGGCTCATCCAGTAGTTAAGTTTTTAAATTCAGAAACAATTAATTTCCAAGTGTACATCTTTATAGATTCAAGATGCTACTGTATAAGAGCTGCAAATTGTAACAGGAAGATCAAGGTATCATCAGCGAAAGCCAATACAAAAAAGGACTATAGAGAGGGAAAGCTTAGTGATGTTGAGATTAATCTGTGACTTGAAGGGCTTCTTTTGGCAGAGGAAAAAGGGTAATACCAAAGCAGAAACAACAAAAAAAAACAGAAGTTGCTGGGAAAGCTCAGCACAGATGCTCAGCAGCATCTGTGAACGTTAACTCTGATTTGTTTCGGGTCTGGTGATCCTTCCTCAGATGCTGCCAAACCTGCTGAGATTTTCCGGGAACTTCTGTTTTTGTTCCCAATTTACAGCATCTGTAAAAACTGAAAGAACTGCAGATGCTGTAAATCAGGAACAAAAACAAAGTTGCTGGAAAAGCTCAGCAGGTCTGGCAGCATCCGTGAAGGGGAAAACAGCATTAACGTTTTGGGTCCGGTGACCCTTCCTCAGAAGGACTCTGAGGAAGGGTCACCGGACCCGATACATTAACGATGATGTTTTCCCCTTCACGGATGCTGCCAGACCTGCTGAGCTTTTCCAGCAACTTTGTTTTTGTTACAGCATCTGTAGTTCTTTTGGATTTTATTTACTAAAGCAAAGCAATTCATCGTTTAATATCTTTAAGTTAGGCTTCCTAATCAGTTTCTAAAACTGATTAGGAAGCCTATCAACTCATCCATCCACATCCAATCACATCAGGAAGTCTACTCAAGTGTTTCCAAACATCTTACATATTACCAGATTGCAAAATAAATAACTCAACAAGAGTTCAAAATTTAAGTATTTATACCATCAATATTTTGTCTTGTTTTTCAAAGCTTCTGTGACGTTATTTACTTGTTAAAAAGAAATCATGCTCAGTGCTAGTGTGATATTTGGCACCTCAGTACAAACAGCATGAAGAACATCTTATTAACACTGCAGTATGCAATTCCATTTATGGCACACAAGGCAACATACAATCTCAGTATGAAAATAACTATTTATTATAGTAAACTAGTTCATGGTCAGAAATTTAAACAAACAGTACCTATTTCAGATCTTAAAACAGCCTTGAGTATACATTGTGTATACATTGTATACACAATGCGGAGTCAAACATACACTGCCAGTCATGGCAATTTTTAAAAAAAAAAAGATACTCCATGCATTAATGTCAGCAGCAATATTGGTTTGCCAAGGAGACAGCAACGACTGCATCTAGAAAAAAAACAAATTTACTGATAGCCTAACAGCCTAAGAAGAACTGCTGCAGACTTCAAGCAACATAGAAATATGTTTCAAAACTGAGATGTGAGCCAAGTGGAGTATTGTTTCTTCTTCCAACATCACATTCAAAGCTCCTCCCCCATTCATTAGATCTCTGCCTCTACTGGTGTTTAGTAGTCCAATCTTCCATTTCTCTTCACTAGCTTGACAGTAAGCCAAGATCCAATATCATATGCAACTGTGATCCATCCATTAAGATATTAAATTGGTTCTCATGTTTTTTTTTGGACAAGCTTGAATTTTTTAGAAAAATGCATTGGGAAAGGTCCAGAAATATAAAATAATGGTGAAGCATTTTGTATGAATAGAGTAACTACTGAAAAACCAACTTTTGCTCAAACCAAAACCATACCATTTTAAAAGGATTCACTCATTAATAGACATTAACTTCAATTCTACGTTAGATCCTTTTCTTTAATCTTCAATGACTACAAAATTTGAAATATTCAGGATAAATTTTTGCAACTCAGACAATTCAAACACTATGACCAGCAAGGCACATTCACATTTTAAAAACACACTATGCTAATAATATCAGGGACAGGTTCAAGCCAATACTTATGGATTGGTTCAGTCATTGTCTATACATGGCCATGATAAGTTGTCACAATCAAATTTCATCTAATCTTGAATTAGTTTCAATAACAGCACAGATCTCAGATCAAGGTCTGTCTATTCAGAACAGGAAATTATGCTTCTTTACAGGAACCAAATGAAACAATTTCAAAATGGTAGGGAAAAAACACATGAAGTGATGTTGGCTGTTGACTTTTAAAAACAATACAAGTGATATCGGCTATTTAGAAGATCTGCAGTTTTAAAACAAAACAAAGACGCCTCTATTACTCTCAACATAAAAGGAAAACTGATTATTAGTAAGTTGTGTCTTTAAGGAGTTCCTTGGTTTAACACAATTAGCTTAGTTTCCAAAATTGTTAATCTACTTTATGGCTAATTACAGGTTATTCTGTTGTACTGTCCCACTTAAATCATAGTGTCTGCCCTCAGCCAGGTGTAAAATCTTTGTAATTTGAGAAATATTGATATCAAAATTAGACAAAGCAACATTCATTTTCAGTGATATCACCGAGTATTTTATTCACATGTATAGACACAATAAATTAAATGGCTAGATGCGTAATTAAGTGTTGAGTATTGAATGGCCCTAAAGCCATAGACAATAATGAATTATCTAACTTAAAAACGATCACTTCAAAAAAAAAGTATTATTTACAAGCATCATTTCCTGGCATCCATTTGCTTTGCATAGTTCGTCTTCACAAACACTTGTTAGCTACTGACAGTTGTCTTTGACTTCTCATACAAAAGTGATAGCTCTATGGAGGGTCACAGTGGCTTTCAATGCTACATAGGGAGTCATTTAATAAAAAATGTCAGAAAGCCACAGCAAAAGACATATTTGGTCTCTGTACAAAGAATTTAAAATGGCAGATTGGAGGCAGACTCAGATTCTGAGGAGACAGTAGTAAAGTCAATAGATACTGTAGTGCAACAAGTGCCAGAGAAGGCTTATGGGATTGTAGTTCTAGTTTGTTTTATGCTGTGACAGCACAGGGTAATCTATTATTAGGAGTACATTGTTTAATTTTAATTTTAAAAATCACAAATTAGATTATTCAATTAAAATCACTGGCAGTTTACAACTTAAAACCACATTCAAATAGTCATGCAGCACATAAGGAAATTATTCTATTATTCCGTTGCTTTAAATTGAATTCTATAACAGCATTTTGTTAAAGAAAAGTACATTAAAGCTCTTTCAATCTCTGTACTCAATATGGATAAATGAAAAAATACATGCATCAGGACTGTTTTCTGATGCTAATCATTTGTATGTAAGCAGTTTCTGCATCATCACTTAAACTCCCTTACACATTTTTATATCATACACTGTAGAAACTTCTACTTGAAATAACCTTAAACACTGCAAGCCATTTATTCATCAGTTTAGAGTAATTATGGCCTGAACTATAGTAACGTACCTTGCTAATGACACCAAATAGTGCAGCATCAGTTCTTATGCTTCTTGTGCGTGAATCACAGAAAGTAGGTCTGCAGGTACAACAAGTAATTAGGAAGGCAAATGGAATTTTGTCCTTCATTGCTAAAGGGATCAAGATTAAAAAGTAGAGAGGTTATGTTGCAGCTGTACAAAGGTGCTGGTGAGGCCACACCTGGAGTACTATGTGCAGTTTTGGTCTCCTTACTTGAGAAAGGATGTACTGGTACTGGAGGGGGTGCAAAGGAGGTTCACTAGGTTGATCCCAGAGTTGAGGGGGTCGGCTTATGAGGAGAGACTGAGTAGATTGGGATTATATTCATTGGAATTCAGAAGATTGAGGGGGGGATCTTACAGAAAGATAAAACTATGAAGGGAATAGATAAGATAGAAGTACAGAGGATGTTTCCACTGGCAGGTGAAGCTAGGACAAGAGGGCATAGCCTCAAGATTAGAGGGAGCAGATTTAGGACTGAACGGAGAAGGAACTTAACAACAACCCTCTGGGCGAATCTATGGAATTCCTTGCCCAGTGAAGTAGTTGACGCTACTTCAGTAAATGTTAAGATAAAGTAGATTTTTTTTGAACAATAAAGGAATTAAGGGATACGGTGAGAACGCAGGTAAGTGGATCTCCGAGTCCACGAAAAGATCAGCCACGATCTTATTGAATGGCAGAGCAGGCTCGAAGTGCCGGACGGCCTACTCCTGCTCCTAGTTCTTATTGCATACTGGTTTGTGTTGTGTTGTTATGAAGCCTGTGGCACAGTCTATTCTGCACTCTGCAAGAATAGCTCTCCTTATCCCTTCTGGCTGTCTGTTGCCTGTAATGATTTCTTGTTATTAGCAACTGTGGTCTGACTCTAGTTAAGAGTCTGCAAATATTTTTTTTACTCCATTGTACACACATTGTTCTGTACAGGTACATATATTACTAGTGTAGACTATTCCACCATTTTGTCAGTCTCTAACATATGACTGATATCACTACTACTGATATACGTCCAGTTATCACATCCATTATTATATTACATTTCTCCTGCCTCCTCCCAAGTTTCTTTTGCATTAACATTTAATTATTTAAACAATTTACATTACCACTATTTCTAAAGTCCAAACTTCACAGGTTGAATCAATAGTATTTGTGTTTGTGCTAGTCTCGTCATTACCGTGGCTTCTAACCATCACCACATCTTGCAGATTGATACCAATATAGTTCTTTTCTCAACATCAAGTTTTGGGTGATTTTCATTTGTTCTTGCTGCCCCAAATTTAAAACATTTCTATTCCTTCTGAACAAGTACATAACTGTTCTGCCCATTTGAGGGCTGTGCCTTCAAGCTTCCAAAAAAAAAGTGAGTATTTTCTCTTTGCCTGGAATTATACCAAACTTTGTTTTCTCTCTATCAATTAAACTTTATTCTACTTTCTTTTGGTCTCATGTCATATTTGGTCTGAAGGCCATTACAGAGGGAAATCTGGGATAATAAAGCACTTACTCATCTGACAAAATGAGTTTCTATTATCTGCTGAAACGCTGAGTGAGAGTCATACAGCATGGAAACAGACCCTTCGGTGCAACCGGTCCACGCCAACAATGTTTCCAAACTAAACTAATCCCACCTGCCTGTGCCTGGCCCATACCACTTCAAAACCTCAATTAACACAAGTATCCTGTGAAGCACTTAAATACATGATTTCCAACACAGCACATACAAATTACATCTTTATCACGCCTTCCTACAAAGAAATGAAAAAAGGCTATCTACTCTTGACAAAGCATGCACAATAAGACTGCCCTTGCAATTATGAATTATGTTAAATAATACAGTTGCACTATTAGACCTCAAGTTTAGTCATCTTTGGGATTTTTACCTTTTAAAGAGATTGTGACAGAAACACTAAGACTTGATGTGTATATCAGAATTGGATATGTTAATATGTTGATATTGGATATGTTTATTTCAAAAGAGTCAAGATCCCAAGACCAAATGCAGAGTCACATTCTTGGACAGACAAACGTTTCTGTTGACAAGCAATTTCTTGGAAAAGTAACTGAGTGGCCAATTGATTTGAGAAAGAACAGTATCTATACCAATATCACTGGCATCAACATCTAGTTTGGAGAGCTTCAGTTAATTCAGTGCTGCTAAAAATCGGTTGGTCGACAGCACAACTTTCAAGTGATCAAAAAGCACTTGGATGTTATTCTGTCCATTCAAATCTGTTGCCTTTAACTAACTTGTTAGAAAGCAAAAATGCTGAAATATGAAATGATTATATTGACATTAGTAAATTTTGCAGAATTTTGCATTTTGTCTTCATTCTGGAGGAGTCTAAGACAGCCCTTATTTTGCTTCCCCAGGTACTTCTTGGACTTGTCCCACAGCGGGATCCAAAAAAGCCATTTTTGCTAACAGTATATTTGCTTTTAATCATGGATTTGAACAAACTGACCAACCGATCAGTTTTCTCAAAAGGTTCTTCTCAGCTTTGGCTGAACATGAGTTGTCAATACAATCACCATGACTGCATAACTGGTTAATCAAAGATGGCAGTGTATTTTTCATTCCAAAGCAAGAGACATTTATATTGAAACAAATAAATATCAGATTTTTAACTCCAAATGGGCTTTCAGTTAGTGGAACTCTGTTTTTTTTAAAAAAGTCATCTTTGTAAGAAATGGTATTTGTCCAATCATCTCAATACAGTCTTCCAATCATGGAATTAGAAAGGAATCTGCCTACATAGTGCATTGACCTTGCGATAACCATGGTATGGAGGTAGTATATTAGCACAAATGGAGGATTAGCTAATGAATAGAAGACAGAGGGTTGGGATAAGATTGACATTTTCAGGATGTAACTAGAGATATGCCACAGGAACCAGTGATGGAGTCATAATTATCTACAATAATATTAATAAACTTGAATGAAGAAAGAGAATGTTCCAAAGCCAAGTTTGCAGATGGCAAAAATAAGTGGGAAGGTGATTGGGGAGAAAAAGCATCTTGTAGACAGATAGTGACAGATTAAGCAAGTGGGCAAAAAAAAAAAAAAAAAAAAACTTGGCAGATAGAATGTGGGAAAGTGAGAGTTAATGCAATTTGGAAGTAAGAACAGCTAGATATTATTTAAATTGAGAAAGATTGCAAAAAAAAGTTGTGGTACAGAAGAATAGGGGCTCATGTGGTACAGTAGTAGTATTCCTACTTCTGAACCAGGAAGCTTGGGCTCATGTTCCATCTGCTCCAGCAGTGTATAACAATATCCGAACATATCGATTAGCAAATGTCTGGAACAAATGAATTGTGAATCTTCATCCATTAATCACAAAAAGCTAGCATCCAAGTTCAGCAGATAATAGGGAAGGGAAGTGGAATACTGGCCTTTATCTCAAAGCAAATGGTGTATAAAAGTTGAAGATTTTGCTAAAACTGTACAAGGCACTAAATCAGCCAGTTGGGAATACTAGAGAATTTTGGGATCTTTATGCAAAGGTATATTAGCATTGGTGGCATGCTATAGAAGCTTCCCTCAGCTGATACCAGCTACAGAAGCACCATTTTACGAAAAGGTATGAGTACAGGCCCAATCTACTCAAAGAACATGGAAGAATGAGAAGCAATCTTCACACAAACCAGAATCTTAGGGGACTTGACAGGGAAGGTGTGGAAAGGTTGTTTTCCTTTGTAGGAGAGAGTTTAGGACTAGACAGCATAATCTCAGAAGTGTGGCAGTGGCTCAGTGATTAACACTGCTGCCTAACAGCACTAGGGATCCAGGTTAGATTCCAGCTTTGAGTGACTGTGTGGATTTCTGCCAAGTACTCCAGTTCCCTCCCAAAATCCAAAATGTGCAGGTTGGATGGGTTGGCTGTGGTAAATGCAAGATTACAGGGATAGGGTAAGGGAGCTAGGTATGTGGGGGATGCTGGGAGTCACTGCATGACTGAATGGGCCAAAGGGCCTCTTTTCACACTAAGGATTCTAAGTAACACATTGAAGACAGGTGTGGAGAAATGTCTTCTGAGGGCAGTGAATCTGTGGACTTCTTTACCACAGAGGGCTGTTGAGGGTATATTGTTTAGTATATTCAGCAAGAGAGTGTAATTCAATCAATCAACAGTTGTGGGGAAAAATACAGGAAAGTGGCATTAAGGATTATTGGATCAACCTTGATTTCATTCAATGAGCATGCAGATGTTATGGTCTGGATAACCTACTTTTGCTCCTACACTGAACTTTATTTTTTCCCCTCTGGGGAATCATTAGAAACACTGCCCTAATTTTGCAACAGAACTTCTAGCTTTGGCCTTTTCATCAACTATTTTTCATATTTTGTTGAGCACTTTTTATTGGCTTTTTGGCCAACACTCACCTTCTGCTTTAAGGTTCAGAGAGAAACTTAGGTTGGATGTGTAGACTAAGTTTTGGTTTATAATATTTTCTTTAATCAATTTAAGGAACGCTGTCACCTCACTTGTATATCATGGGTGAAGAGGATTGAATTTTGTAGACTCATTAGGGGCAGGCCCAATGTCAAACAGAAGTGAGGGAATTCCTTCATCCCAATTATTAGGATGTCTTGGACAGCACAAGTCATGGTAATTATAATTTGATGCCCTCTTTTGTTGCTCCAAGAGGTTGCGAATGGTAAGCTGAAGACTTATTTTTGAATATAGTTTGGGAATAAATTAAGACAAAATTTGAATCTCAAAATTGGATTGCATTTCTTCGGTAACCCATACCTTATTTTTCTACTATTTTCAAGATAACTGGTCCTGGAAATCATTGAAATATCAAAATTGTTCAATGACAAATTGATTTGAGCCAGCCAGGTAATTCCCCAAAGCATAGTCAATTCATTCATGGGCATTTATTACACTAGTAATTACAAATTTCCCATTCACCAAATCACAACCCCCCATTAACACAACCAATTAATATTTTAATTGGCCTATCAGCCAGAATAAACAACCGACTTACTCCAATTTCTCTCAGCATCTTTAAAATGGTTTATCTCCTTCACTGGGAGAATAAAAGAAATACCTC